GAGGCCGTTCGAGGCTAACTCACGTCCACAGACACACCGGGAGGGGGAGGGGGTTGCTTGACTGAGGGGGCGGCATTTGTCAGGAGGGGTGCACGGCGGGGGAGAGGCCAAAGAGAAGGAGAAGAGGGGGAAGGGGAGAGGAGGGACCCTGGACAGCAAGCCCCCCCCGGGGCAGTGGCGTGTTGCCGGGCTCCCTTTTAGATTGCCAGCCCCCGTCGTGCCGTCCTCGCATGCTCCCCCGATCTCGGCGGGAGCCCGGGGGGGGGGGGGGGGGGGGGGCGTGTTGGATCTCCTAGCGCGCGCGTGCGCGCGCGTGCGGGGACGGAGCTCTGGCACGCTCCGATCGGTCCCATCCGACGGCAGCTGCCGGGGCGTGGGCGTCGGCGATCGGGGCGATCGGGGCGATCTCGGGGAGGCTTGGCCGGCACTCGCGCGCGCGCGCGCGCGCGGGAGAGGGGGGCTCGCCGGAGGGGCGGCGAAAGGGAGAGAGGCCCTGTCGTGGCCAGGCCACTGGGGAGGGGATGGCAGAGGGGCGGGGGGCGGGGGAAGGGAGCGGCAGGGGCGTACCTCGACAGGCGTGAGGGTGTCACACCGGGGATGGCGGGGAGGCGAGGGGGAGGGAACGGTGTCGGGCAGGCACGCTTCAACGGGCACACACACAGACACAGACACAGACACGCACAGGAGGCTGCGAGCGGAGGAAGCAAAAGGGGGAGGGGAGAAACGGTCCGGATGGAGTGCGCTCTCAGGGTGATGGTCCAATATGCGGCGGACGGAAGCACGCGGCGGGGATTGTTTAATAGGTGCGCTCCTGGAAGGCGCTTCGCTCGGTCCCGGGAGGGGGGGGGGGGGTCGGGCCCCGGAGGCGGCGCATGCCTCCACCAGCCCCACCTCCCCTCCCCTGCGCCTCCCGCCACCGGTCGCCGGTCGCCGGTCGCCGGTCCCCGGCCTGTGCCCCTCGTCCGTTGCCCTCCCCTGTTCAAGCGCCGCGCCCCCGGAGCTCCCTCCCGAGGCCGGCTCGGTGGCTTCGCTGTCCCACTCCCAGCGTCTCCTCCCTCCTCATACCCGGGGCTTGCTCGGCACGGAGGGCACCAGAGGCGTTTCGTGCAAGTGATGGGCGAGGGGGGGGAGGGACAACAGGGCACACGTCCTTGGCCAGGATGCCCCCCGTATCCCCATCCCCCGCCTCCTCCTGGCGATCCAGACCCCCCCCCCCCCCGGCACCAAAAGGGACCCCCGTGGAGGGGGATCCGTGGAGGGGAGGGCCGGTGAAGACCTTTGGCCGGACAGAAGACCCGGCATGGGCTCGAGGCAAGCGCGGGTGCCCTTTTCCCTGCCCAAACGCCGAGTCCATGGTTCCCTGCGCCTGGGGCCCCTCATCTCCTCGGGGAAGTGTGTGTATCCGTGTATGGGGGGGGGGGGGAGGCGGCTGCCCACCCTAGTGTGGGCACCTCATCCCCCGGGATCTAGCGCGTTTAAAAGGCACACCCCCCCTCCACCCCCACGCCCGACGCCCCAGGAACACATAGCAAAAAGGAAGGCCGACGGCTGCCCCCCAGACCGATTTCCGGCTCGCCCATGTCCCCTCTCCGGGCTGATGGGAGGGCGAAATTGTCGGCATCTGTGTGGGAGAAGTGGTACGGGATATCTTCTCCGCATCGGCCATGCCGCTCGATCCGATCCAGGCGCAAAAGCAAAAACACCCACCGTGGGGACACCATGTCCCGGTGGCCCCGGGATGCAGACGCCCTCCTCGGCCGTCCTTCTCTGTGAGAAACGCATCTCCCCGCTGGGCCGTGCGTGGATCGCCTCCCCCCCCCCTTCTCTGCCTCCCGCAGATGTGGTGAGGCCTGGAAGCCGCCTCCGACGGACCGAGAGTCGAATTGAAAAGTAAAGACCCCCCCCCCTGACTCCAGCTTGGCCTGGTTGCGGGGATCCGAGGGATCCCCAAGGAGGGATGGGCACAACGCAATAGGCCGGGCAGGGAGAGAGAGAGCATGTACATGGTACACGCGTGGGGTCCGTCTGAGAATGCCATCCTTCAAGTGCCGCAGCACTGCTTCCGCCGCGGAGAAGGAGAGCCGAGAAGCGATCTCACCGCACACACCCGAGACCACCTAGCCCGCGGCATTCCTGCCGCCAAGCATCCTTCAGTGCACTTAGTCTCCACTAGTCGCTGGCTAGTCGGCCGCCTGGGGAGCCTGGGCTCTCCCGGCGAAGGCGGCATCGGCCGCCCCCCCCCCCCCCCCCTCCCGCCCCCCGGGGAACACCCCAGGGAGCAATCTGCATCGGCAGAAGCAGACACCCCCAGCCATAGGAAAGAGGGGGGGGGGGCTATCCGCCTCACCCGTCCCCGCTCCTACGCCCCTTCTTCGGCCTCCCGCGAAGGGGAGCCGGGGGGCTCGCCCAGCACACCATCCTACCCATGCCGAGTGGCCAAGGGTGTTCCTTTTTTTTTTTCGGGTGGCCTGGATCGAGCGGCCGCGGCCCATGTGGCGGATCGGGGTGCGCCGGGATCCGGCAGCGGGCGATCGGCCCCGGTGCCGGGCCCGGCGGCCGCATAGCCTGCGCGACCTCCATCATGGGCCGCTGTTGTCCTGCTGCCTTGGTGTGCGCGCGCGCTGGGATCTCGATCAACCCCGGCGGCGCCGATCGGATACGGCGGGAGACCCAGCAGTTTAGAGCCCAGCGTAACCTGGGCATGTGTAACCCAACCCGGGGGGGGGGGGGGGAAGACGACACCAGATGCCTGGGAGCGGGTGCGTAACTGTGGCCGGTGAACGCGCGAGACCAGAACCGGGCAGATAAGCTGTGATCATGTGTGTATTACACAGGGGCGTGACGATTGACCGCGCGCTGGGCGTTCGAGCGTATCCTGTGCACGTGCTCCTTGAGCACGTCGGACGCGGTGCGGATGGTCTCGAGCCGCTCGAGCGCCGAGTTGGCAGCTGGCGACGGGGCGGGCGAAAGGAAGCGCTGGGACGCGGTGGGCGGTGCGGTTGGCGGGGGGGGGGGGGGGGGGGGGGGGGGGGGGGGGGGGGGGGGGGGGGGGGGGGGGGGGGGGGGGGGGGGGGGGGACATTGGTCAGGCCAGGAAGTGTCTTGCATGCGTCTGTGTGCGTGTGTGTGTGCGCGGGCTTTGCCTCTGTCTTCGTCCGCCCTGCCTCCCTCGGGTGTTTGGCTCCTCTTTTGCGCCCCCCGCCTGCGAGCGAGGAAGGGTGGCATGTCTGCCAATTGAGCGCGCCCTGGCTCCCCGCACCATCCGCGGCGGGGGGCGGACGAGCTGGAGAACGCGCACGCACCAGGTGGTTCTTGTCGAGAATGAGTTCGAGCTCGCCCAGGAGCGCGATGATACGCTGGTAATCGTCTGGACAGATAAATACATACGTGTGTGTGCGTGCGTGTGTGTGTGTGTGGGTGGGTGGGTGAGTGGGCGTGCAGGGGAGAGGCAGGCGCGCATGGACCAAGCCGTGCGTGCGGCCTGGCAGCCGGGCACGGCTGACGGCGGAGCGAGCTCGCCGGCGCTGGCCGGCGGCATGAAGACGCACCTTCGGCATCAGCCATGGAGTACTGACTTGAGCAGGAGATCTCACTGGCGGGAGGAGGGCAGCCGGCGGCGCGAGCGTGTCAGCAAGGGGGCGGGAAGGGGAAAGAGGGAGCGCAGGGAGACAGCGGGAAGAAGTCGGCAACCAGGGTCGCACATCCGGTCGAAAAAGTCCCCAACCGCGCGCTCGATCGAATCCAGCACCTGGCAGGCCTCGTTGACACTCTGGACCAGCTTCACGGCCGCCGGCGCGGAGGCGGCCTTGGCGCGGACAAACTGGGCCACCCGCCGGTCGGACAGGAACGCCGGGTCTGCCCCGTCCTCGGGCCTCTCCCCCGGGGCCGGCGTCAGGGTGGGGCCGTGTGGAGCGAGGAGCGCGAGCGGCGGGGGCGGGAGCCCGGCCGCCGGCGCCGTCAAGTCCGGCAGACCCATGGCCCCGGGCACCGGATCGGCGATCATCGACGGCGGCAGGTCCGGCAAATCCATCGGCGGCGGCGGCAGCCCGCCGACCGTCGGCAGAGGCGGAAGCCCCCCCACCGGCGGCAGGGGAAGGCTGCCGACCGACGGCAGAGGAGGGAGGTCGGGCAGCTGGATCAGCTCCGGCATGCCGATCAGCGAGGGGGGCGGCTCGGCCATGATTGCGGGGTCTGCCCGTCCGAGGGCCAGGCGAGGGGGCGCGAAGGGAGGCCTGGGCGGTGTGGCCGGGGAGCGGTAGGACTGGCGCGGGGAGCTGCGACAGGAAGGGAGGGGGGGCGATAGCCGTCACGGAGAAGGAGGGCCAGGAGGCGGAGGCGGAGGCGGAGGCGGAGGCGGAGAGGCGAGGTGGGGGCGGCCGTGGTGGGAGATACCTGATTGGCGGGCGGCCAGCGGATGCCGTCAGGGCCTCCGCCCCTGGGGCCTCTTAGACCGCCGATCGGCCAGGTGCCCACGTACCGGCATGCCAACGCGGCTCCCATGCTCGTACCGGTTGTTTCGCCGGGCCCCGGGCGGGCCGGCGAGCGGGCGGGGGACGGCCAGGCGGCCGCGCAGGGGGGGAACGGCTCTCCCCCCTGTCCCTTTCTCTCTCTCTCTCTCCCTCGCCGCAATCGCAGCCGGGGCCGGCTCAAGAGACGGCTGGGCTTCCCCCCACTGGGCCCCAAAGGGGCCGCCACACCCGCTCCATCCTCCTGTGTCACCGCCTCCCTCCCTCCCTCCCTCCCCCCCCCCTGTGTCCCCTGCCTGCTCGCCCTCTTCCTCCGCCCTCCCCGCCTCTTCTCCCCTCCCTCTCCTGCTCCTGCCCGGACCACCACCGCCACCACCACCACCACCCCTGCCCTCACCATGGCCAGCCCGGTGCCGACTCCGCCCAGCCCCGCCGCCCCCTCGCCGGCGGTGGTGTCCTTCTTGAAGCCGCGAACCAAGCGCGCGCTGGACATGTTCATCGGGTCGCCGGACGACCTGTTTGAGGACTCCTCGTCGTGCGTCTCCCTCCTCTGGCTTGCAGTCTGGCATGCCAGGCTGGCCGCGTCCCCTGCCCCTGCTCCGCTTGCCCCTTTTTTGCCCCACCCCCCC